AAAAAAAAAAAAAAGAAATCAAAATGATCATTGGTCAAGAAAAAGTTAGAAATCATTATGTAAAAGATGGTAGTAAAAGTTTGTTTCTGCCACAAAAAGAAAAAAAAATCAAAAATGATCATTGGTCAAGAAAAAGTTAGCATCATGTAAAATATGGTAATAAAATTTAATATAAAATTAAAAAAAGAAAAAAAATAGTAATGTGCATGCTAATCAATCGGATGAATTTTAATTTGTTTTGTTTTTTGGTCTTTTTTTTTTTGATACATATAAATCCAATCAATCAATATCAATCATATTACTAATATGATCTATAAGTGATACAATAAATTGTGACAATTTTTTTTTCTTGTCTTAAAAATTTACAGTAATAATTAATTTTCAAGAATATTCATCATTCTTCATGATCGTTTTATAACATATTAGATCAAGCGCTCAGAAAATTTTCACATTGATCAATAATGGCATATTGCGCAAAAATTCATTGCGCATCTTTTATATAAAGGTAATGTTATGTTTCAATTCTTTTCTATTTTTAAGTTAATTTTTAATTTTTAATCAATTTAATCAATATTTAATTTTTAAATTTTCTTATACTGAAATATGTTATGTTTATACATATTTTATATCACATTATTCTTTTATAGTTTATACATATATTTATTTCTTTATCATTTCATTGTTATATTTAAATATAATCATTGGAAATATTAATTAATATTTATTTATAATTTCAAAATTAAAAGTTATAATTATTTTAAATAGAAATTGTAAATGTTGCAGTACAGCAATTTGTAAATTTTACTTTCATTATTTATACTTATCAAATGTAAAAAGTATATCTTTTTTTTTTCCTTGAATTTTTAGATAAATATTATAAGATAAAAAAAAAAAGTAAAATGATGAAATCGGAATCAAATCCAGAAAATTTACATAGCAATGGGAGTTTTATTAAACAAATGGAAATTTCTATTGATGATTTGGAAATTAATGAAGAAGGTATGAATAAAATTTTTTGAATTTTATTTATTTATTTATTTATTTATTTTTTTGAAAGCTAAAATAGCTTCGTGATTAGTGTGAAGAAAAGTTTGATGAATCATTAAATGTAAAAGAAAAATTTATTTAATGCTTAATTATTAAATGTAAACAAAAATTTGCTTAATGCTTAATCATTAAATGTAAACAAAAATTTATTTAATGCTTAATTATTAAATGTAAACAGAAATTTACAATGTTTATGTTGTTGCAAAAGTAAAAAAGTTCATGTTTTTTTTTTAATGATTTATTTATTTATCAAAAAAGTATTTTTGAAAAATTTTTATTAAAATTATTTTGATAAAATTTAATAAAATTTTTTCCAAAAAATTACAATCCAAATTATTCTCAGTGAACAAAACTAAAATTAACCAATCATTTATGATAATAATATTAAAATGTATTATTTCTTCATGTCATTTTAACTCAAATACTTTTTTTTTTCTTTTGTTTTAGATCTTGCTAAATTATCA